CAAAAAGGTTGGGTTAGGAGGAAAAAGACTGCAACTTCTAAACACACAACCTGGTAGGTTTCATGTTAGTTCTTGGTTTGAGTTTATTTCTAAGAACAGGATACATGAGTATAGCAACCGGGGAAAACAGCTCTGTTTTCCACACACTCCACTTTGTGAGCCGGAGCTCGGTGGCTTTCTGAGTGGCCCTATCTGGTTAGGTAAGTAAAATGGAAGAAAATCTTTGTCACTCCAAAGGGAGGATTGGCACTGGAAATAGTCAGCTTCTGAAATGGAATATATATTATCCTTGACATTATCAAAGGAGATAGAAAATGAATAAAGTGACCAATATCCAACTGGCAAACATTTCTCGGCAAACTGACCAAGTCAACAAAGTGGAGATGTCTGGGATGGTTTCCCTCCATGTTGATTTTTGCAAGTTAACATTAGCTGAAATTAGTTCCCATGACTTTCATTTCTATTGCCAAGGTTCAAGTAGACATTTAAGTGACTTGAAAGTTTCCCTTTCATATGATGTGCCAAGATAATTAGGAAGGACAATAACATAACTCATACAGACCAAGTAGAAAATAAATTACCAGAGATATTTTGTTAGAGAGTCACTTTATGTGCCCAGTTCTTTGAAAGATTTTGTCCACAAAGTTTGTATAACTACATCTATGGCTACCATTACCAATCTTAATGTTTTTAAAAATGCTAATGGTAGTAGCTGTGTTATCCCTTGGCAATTAAGGAGTCTTTAATGTATCTGAGTCCCATGGTCACTTTTCTAGGGTGGAAAGGCTGCTTGAAAAAGTATGTCTGTAATAGTAACAAAGCCGTATTTGGGAATGGTACGTGACAGTCTCTATGAAATTAAAGGAATAAAAGTTACATATTTCATATTTTACTTAACTGTGTTCTTTGGAACCAGGAGGGCTGCCTCTACGTGAATGAAAATCTGTATTTATTTAGCTCTGATAAATAGTGCTTTTGTTCTCTGATATCTTTGTTTGCTTAACTCAAACCAGAGAGAAAATGTTTGTTTACAAGCAAAACCAAAGCCATCATACAATTATTCTCATTTAGCAATTATTTAGCATTAACTGGAACTTGGCATGCTGGAAAACTTACATCCTAGGGGAAAATTACTATTTTAGAGTACCATAGATACTTTGTAATGCACATAGCACATTTGAAGGAGCAATTTATTAAAAGTTACAATATTTTCCCTAGACAATGGACTAGCTGTTCACCATCAGGACTGGCTCCAATATTTATTAAATGTTCACAAATGATTAATTATGCTTCATTTGTAAATAGACTCTAGTGGGAATTTTTTATTGCAAGTACTATTTTAATGAATTGTCTGTCTGGATGAATTCTTGTCTAAAACTGGAATAATTTATTCTTGCTTCCTTCTCCAGCTTCACACTTGAGCCAAGCACTACTTATTATGTTTTCTGTATTTCTTCTTTCTAAATCATGTGGTCATTCCTTAGTTGCCTAAACTAGAAACCTTGGATATCTCTAACTCTCACTCTCCCTCAAACTTCATTTCTAATTAGTCACCATATTCAAATGATTCCTGTTGTCTGCCTAGTAAAATCCAAATCTCAATCTGAGGTATTCATAGGCCAGACCACTGTAATGTTCCTAGCACCCATTTTCCATGAAGTAAATTATCTTACCTCTCACCATTAGATGTTCTTCTTTATCTCTACACCTCTACCCCTGAGCTTGTATAGTTTGCTCAGCTTGCTCTTTTTTCTCTTTGTCTGCAGAATGAATGACTGTTTGATTAAAAGTTGGCTCAAGTATCATCTTCTTTAACTTTTCAAGAATTTTCCCTTGCTTTCCCTTGTGCAGAATTAGTAATTCTCCCCTTTATTTTCTTATGGGAGTGTATGCATACATCTCCTGGTTTTCTTTATTTATGCATATAGCTCATGCATAAGATCGTAAGGATTTTTAAACCTCCCAGTGTTGTATTTTGCATCTTCTATGTATATATTTCAATTAAGCACTTAATGAAGGTTGACTAAATTGAAAGTCCTGGTAAAACAAAAGAAAGGAAGTTAGTCTTCAGTGGATATTCCATGTGAACAGTACCTGGTGAGTGATTACAGACATGAGGAGGTAAAGAGGGCCTGGCAGCAGAGCAGTTACAGCTCCAACAGAGTACAGTTATAGAGAAAGAGCACTTCAGGGCAATAAGATGAACTAGAAGTTACCCCTACCTATACAACCAACTTGCATTTATTTTGTTACACTTTCTCTTTTCCCTGCAGTTTCATATTTTCTATACTGGTTGGCTAGAAAAGCAGCAATCACCAGCCTTGACCATAGTAAATATACAGATATAAATATACAGTCAAATATACAGTAAATATACAGTCAAGAAAATGCACAACTATTAAATAAACAACTCAGAACTCAAAATTTGTGCCTTGGAGTCAAACAAATAGGTGCTAATTCTCTTTCTTAGGAAGTGTCTAGTGTATACTCTCTTTCACTCAATGTCATGGTATTCATATACAGATATATAATTGATTATTGGTTTTGATGACTAGAAACAGCTGTGTCTTGTAATCTGCATTGTTTAAGTAGTAGAAGGTGGATTAATGTAGAGAGCCATGATCTAGTGTCAAGATCACCAGACTTGAAGGCTGATTTGATTCCTAATCTTGTTGTCTTACTGGAAGGAAACACTTTATTGTATCAAAAGCTTGGGTTTCTTATTTATAGAACAAGGCATATAATTACAGCCTTGTGGAGTTTTATGATGAAGATGACTCATGTCTATAAAACGTACTTTTTCCATTGGAATGTAAAATATTAGAAGTTTTAAGCTTATGTAAGAATAAGAAAATGTGTATGAAAGAAATTTCTAAGCTGCATATTCAATCCTTTATTCCCTTTGTTAACTGTTATTCAATTTCAGTGTATTTCAGCTTTAATTTATGTAAACAGATGAAAATAGGATAAACAATTCCACAGTAATGTGATTGGTATACAATGCAGCAGGTTTAAATGAAATTCTGCTTCTAATTCTTTTGAATTCATAATTCAACACAATAGAGTAAAAGGGAAATAACAGTTAGAAAGACATTTGTTTCCTGTCATGAGCTTCCATTCACGTAAGGGAGCAGAACAATCCCACAACAGAGGAAATAGGAAAATTAGCACTGTCGTCAAGATGCTGGTAACTGGTGATGACAGGAAAGTTGAGACAAAGCAACCACAACAAAAACAAGCATTGCCAACTTGTCTTGTTAATAATTGAGTACATGACTTCCAAGAGTTCTGTATTAGCTGCAGCTCTATACATACATTTTAAAATGAATCTCACCAGAAAATAATTTGCAGTGCTTGCTTTTATAAACATTGTCCTTTACCTTAAGCAAGGTACTGAAGGTGTCATTTCCTTTTGGTCTACTCTGCTCTTCAATGTCCATCTAACTCTATGGGGAGTTATCAATGTTTATTCCCGGATTCTTTCCATGTTTATACAAAACATTTTATTAGGGTTAAAGAAATTTAAACAACCAAAGTAAGAAACAAATGAAGCTCTGTTTTTTCAGTATGTTGTACCTTTAAAAGTCTCTAATGGTCACACTCTAGAGAGCCCTGGGGCATTAGGATGATACAAGCAATTAGTTCTGACCCGTATTTTATTGTTGGGACATGAGGTCCTGCAGGGCCAAAGAGGAGGTACAACAGTATTCAGACAGCAAGGACAAGGCGACATCTCAGATCCTTCTCATGAGCACTCTCTTTTCTATACTTTATCAAAACAAAATCTAGTTTATTTTTTTTTGGGGGGGGGGTTTTCTCCGGTACCGGGAACGGAACTCATGACCTTGTGCTTGCCAGGCAGGTGCTTTGCCACTGAGCTAAATCCCCAGCCCCTAAAATCTAGTTTAAAATACATGAATATAAGTTAATTCTCCTTTATACAAATGATATCAGTAAACTAGAAAGACTAGCTTAACACTTATGTTAGCTCTTTGGCTGTGGATACTGATGGAAGGATGATATGTATCTCTGAGAACAACCAATAAATTGGATGATAGGAGATCTCAATAGCCTGGAACAATTGGCTATATCTAACAAAAGTGAATTTTACAGGGACAGATGCAAAGTCAGCACTTACACTATAAAACCTGTAGCAAAAATACACAAAATGGGACATACAGTTTAACAGCAGAACATGATTTTCTCCCAAAGTGCTGTTTTTAAAGAATGAAAAGTAATATCAATACACTTTTTTTCCTGAATCAATCCATTTTTATTTAACTTGATAGAAGTATATTCAGAACAACGAAGGGGCTAAATCCAATCTACTCTATCCAGCTGGAATTCTGAATATAGTTACGGACTCCAATAAACAGAATCACGTAGAGAGCAAAAAACATTACTGAACTCATGCAGAACTGAGTACTTTAGGAATGGCTAAAGGAACTGGGTAGGTCTCTCTGAAGGAGACAATAACCATATTCATCATTTTGGAGAAATAGGCATAATAGAAACATGTGCCTTGTAATACAAGGTGCTGAGTGATTGAGTGGAAAGAATTTGGGATATGATACCTGGAAGCACAGGTCTGGAGCCATCATTTACTAGTGGTAAGATGTGGAGAAAATCACTAGAACACTGAATTTAGGTCACAGGATTTTTATGAAAATTAAACAACATAAGTAAAATACCCAAAGTACACGGCTTGTAATTGATAATCAACATAACTGATCTTTTTCAGAAGGACTCACTAAAGATTTTCACTAGATTTTATTAGAGAATTATTTTATAGAACAGTTACATAAAAAGACTTGGGAGTGATAGGCATCTGAGATTCCTGTCAGTGCTACATGGTTATCTGTTCTATGTTAACTGACAACTTTTTCTCATACTTTATGACAGTAAAGGTAGTTATTCAAAATGGGTGATGTCTTTCACATCATATTACCTTATAAATTACAAGAAACTTTACATCGCATGTAATAAAACAGTTTTCTTACCTGTAGAGTGCAGAAAGGGGCCGCTTGTTTCCAGGTTTTGGTCTGTATGGTTTGGGTTCTCCTGCCATGTTGATATCTGAAAGCATAAAGGAAAATAGCATGGATTAAAAACTTAAATCCTCTGTGAAAATTAAACCTTCCAGTCTTCTTTGTCTTTTTGTCATTTGTTTTGGAAATATTGAATGCCATTCATTCATTTGACATGTGTTTATTGAGCACCTACTTTATAGAAGACACCATTTAGGATAGGTCATACAAAAACAGATTTGAAAGGGTAAAAGAAAATATAGACAGAAAAAAATAGGAAGACAGATCCCTAGTAAACGGGAATGTGATTTTGAGATGGAGGGCAGGGGAGCGAAGAGAGGAAAAGGAAGAATAAAAAGAATTAAGATATGTTTTGTTCATGTCCCTGTACCCACAATGGATGTAATAATTATGAGCTACAAATACAGTATATGCTAATTAAAAAGAACACAAATTTGATCCCAGCTGTTGTGGAGTTTATATGCAACTGGAGGGAAATAGATAGTAAGATGTAGACATAATAAATATGAAAAATATACACCATATTAGAAAGTGATAAGTATTATGGAAAAAAATTGTTGAGTGAAGTAAGGGCAATCCAGATACTTAATAAAAAATAAAAGTAAGATATTCTACTGATTCCCATTTTTTGGCTAAGAATTTCTCAACATATGTGAACATGTGCATGGACTATCCCTTTGTCTAGCAGAGGATTTATTCCCATGATGTAATTTCTACATATATAAAAAAGGAAGCCATAAAGGTATATTCATGAAGCATGCCATGTTTACTTAGCAAACTGCAAACTATAGGAAGCAAACTGAATGCTGAGGCTATGGAATTATAGCGTGGTCAGAAAAACATGGGAGCTCACCCTTTGTCTTCACAAGCTGAAAATATGATTAAATCTCTGAGATAGGTAAGTGGATATCTTAGTATATGATATAATATGCAAAAACTTGACAAATATTGATCTTAAATGAATGTATAATATTTAAAACATTAGCTCAATGAGGAAGTCTTTTTAATGTTATAAAATCTGATTACTAAAAAGGACAAATATGAAATTGCACCTCTATTTCACATTATACCCTAAAAATCCATTGATAATACCTAAATATGCAAGGTAAAAATATAAAACTTTAGGAGGCAATAAAATAGAATGCTTTTATGAGATCAGAGTATGGTAAGAAATCTTAAACCATTCATAAAATGAGCCAAAATGAAAAAAGGAAAATTAAATCAAAAACTAATGAATGAGCTTTACAGAGAGGAATGATCACGACAGGTAAGCCTTTGAAAAGATGCTCAACACAATTAGTAATGGGAAAACCTGTTAAAAGAGCATGAGATTCAATTGAAAGCCATTCAATGTACAATTTTGAAAGTTTTACAACATCAACTATTTATGAGATTTGGGAGCAACTGGAATGTGTATACATTATATGTATAAGTGTAGATTAAGATTATTCTGGGAAATCATTTGGCAGTTTATAACAGATACAGGACATCCCAGCACTCGGGAGGTTGAGGCAGGAGGATTCCTTTGAGTTTGAGGACATACTGGGCTACACAGTAAGTTCAAGGTCAGACTAAACAACAACACAGCAAGACCTTGTCTCAAACAAAACAAACAAAAAAGCAAAATATAACCAAAAATTTATGAAATATAGGAAGAATTATTTCATATGTTTTTCACAATATGTAGCAAAGTGTTCATTGTTGTGCAGTGGAAACAAATATATTACCGGAAAAAACACAGACATCTTGACAGGCAAAAAGAGAGAAAGAGATAAAAGAATTTGAACCTTGCCACCATTGATACACTTATGAACCTTAAGAATATAACACTAAACAAATATAATGCCATAGGAAACAACTGATAGTATAAATCTTTCTATGAAAATTAAAGTGTAAGCAATACAATGTAAACACTATGTAGGAATAATACATATGTAATCAGATTAAAGAACAAAGATTAGACAATCAGTTCATTTGAGGATTACATCTAAAAGAGCAGATAAAGTGTGGGACTTGGGAGAACCCAGAGACTTTAAAATTGAATCGTAAGTACTATTTCTTAAATTGGGTAGAGAGGACATGGGTATATATTATACTTTATAATTTACATATTTTATTAATTCTGTTTTAAGTGCTTAATAAGTAAAGATTTTAAGAGCAGTAAGAAAATGATAAGTTATATGTTGATAAATACTCAGGTGAGAAGCAGAAAGCTTTAGTGAACAAGGGGTTGCAGCAGGACTGTGAACTAGTGCACACACCTAGCGGAGAGAAAGCACACCTCGGGAGTGGATTGCTGCGTATCATCAGAAATCCCAGCTAGAACTTACAATTTGATTTGAATGGGGTGTAATTCAGTGTTTTGAACAGAGGACAGGTCAGAAAATGAATCATAAAGAAAGTGACTCTTGTATGATTTAGAATAAGTCATAGCTAAGATCAAGGCTGTCTAAACCTTTTAGATGTTATATTGCTGGAACAAAAAAGTAAATAAAACAAATATATACTTTTATTATTTTTATAAACTCTGTAGTAATGATAGATGGTTCCTGTCTTTGAAAATATCATAAGACAAACTGTGTATTTCCAGTTTTATCTAAGTCTTGCAAAGTAAAAATATAAAATTATTCTCATATGTAAATAAAAAGCTTCACACAAGTCTGTCAATAAAAATATTTTAGCATCTTTTCATTTTTGTGTAATATGTTTTCAGTGGTTCTGAAGATGCACTTAGGGCTTTGACAGCAAATTCACACAACAGAATGTCTTTCCTGACAGGCTAATAAACTCAGTATTTCCAGACATCAGACTCCTTTCAAAGGTATTAAACACGTCTAAGAAAATTCTTTGTCCCTTCTGAACACTGAATGGTGTTTAAGTGGAAATTAATACTTAGATATGCGTACTTATGTCTTTTTCACCATGATACTATGTGGTTTGTGATCCTCCAAACCTCAGAGGAGTGAGTGGAAGAAGCAGGATGTGGGGGATGGCGGGCAGAAAACTCAGATAGTTAGAGTGGACACAAGGCTTTGCAGGATCTGAGTGAACCAGCTTTTCTCTCACACTGAATTTCAAAAACATAAGTTTCATTTTCTCTGCAGAACAATTCAAGCCAAGCCTCAGATTTTCTTGCCTCAAGAGCTGCTGGCCTGCAAGCAACAGTGTAAAGAGCATCTAAGGTAGGAACTCAGTGGCCAGTGACAGAGGTCTCGGTGCCCTCATGCCCTGATTGTCCTGGCTCTCATGAGACAGGAGGAAGAATAACCAAGATTCAGTTTTCTCCTGCTCTCCTAAGATGGGAGCTTTCCACATATACAAAAAATGGAGGAGTGGCTATTTATTGAGTTCCTGAATTTACAGATTTATACTCAACACTACTAGTACATAGAACTCTATATTATCCTCAAGAAAAGATTGCATTTAAACTTTCCAATTGAATGATTTGGGTATATTCCTAAAATCCCAGTTAAATTCCTAGTCATGGAACAGAATTACATATAAAGACACCTGGTAGTAGAATCATATTCCTATGCTGAGTGTTGGTAAAATCAGGTAAGCACCATTTTAAATAAGTCTGCTGATGAAGTTTACTTCTGTTTAAATTTACTATGTATTACACCTGTGCAGACAGAGTAACTGCCCTCGCATCTCCAGGCATACGAAGAATTGCAAAAGTTTTGAACTTTTCCTCTAGCTAGAGATGAGTGGGAAGTGCACAGCTTCACCTAGATGAAGGGGTATTTCCATTTGTCATATAATATTAGGAGGCTTCTGCAAGCACTTACTAAGAGCCATAGTACAGGGAAGGGATGTAGCTTAGTGGCGCAAGTGCCTTCCTGGCAAGTGCAAAGTCCTGAGTTTGATTCCCAGTACCCCCCGGAAAAAGAATCATAGAACAGGCTCATTTCTATTTTCATCTTGATTTTGATTTTTTTAATTTGTTTTACTATTTCAAATTAGCGTGGAAATATGCTACAAAATTATTCTTCTGATATTAAACTTGAGACTGAAAAATCAAAAAAATATCCTGTTGGACTCCTACTACATCTTTTCACAGTGAGTTAAATTTTTAAAAATAACTACCACAAAAAATTGGTCTATTCTGTTTCCTTATTTATTTTAAAACTAAATAGGCAATACTATTGTATCAAGGTGAAATAACTGTAAAGTTACAAAACTGAGGAAAGTGAATGATGTCAACATATTTTGACTTGAGGCAAGTGAGTTGAGGCAAAAACATGCAGGTACTATATGAAGTCAAAATCAGCAGAAATAAAAAGGGTGCAGGTAAATATATTCACTTGACCAATCCTTGGTGATGAACTACTGAACATGGCATTAACAGCATTCTATTATTTCATGCTTTGGACCCTTCCTATGATACACTCAAATAGCTGTGATTCTTACAATTTCCACCTATTTTGCTTTATCACATTTCCATTTGCACTGACTACTAAATATTTTTGTGCTTTGAGTTTGAACATCTAAAGAGCAATCATAATTTCACTCAACTTCATACTCTCTTCAGCATCCTACTGGGTTGTTTACACAGTAGGTGCTCAATGATTCCACTGTCAATTTAATCTATACAAGGCAGAAGGCATATCCTCATATGAGTTCTAGAGTGGCTAAGCAAACACATTTTGTCAAAATATTTTTTAAACTGATGTTTATTTGAGCAGTTTTTCACAAGATGTTAAAATATAGGTTGTTAAACATGTTTATCAAGGTAGAAATAGTTTGGTGAAAATTCTATAGTATACTTTTTGCTGGATATAAACACTGCATGTTATAGATAAAAGCCCTCCCTGCAAACAAACATATTTATCCATCTTTAACTCAAACATACTCTCATGTATACCTGAATACAGAATATTTATGACAGCACACCTGTTAACATCCAGCACATAAGAGCTCTTCCAGAATGGTGGTTTATGAGGTACTCTGAAATATTTAGAAAAATATTTAATCTCTCTTTGCCAAGGATTCCATTTGAAACATCTCAATTTAAGTGTTAGTCTTTTA